GAAACCAGATTTACTCCCTTATAAAATGCTCAATAACACACTTGTGATTTTCTTACGAATGTTCCAGCTCTGCCTTCTCTTTGGAGACAGGTGTGAAGGTACAGAGACACAAGTCTGAGTATCACAATTTCTTCGATCTTTTTGTTCAAGATTCTTTAAATATACCTGTCAGAAGTCACTGAAGACTAACCTCTGGGATGTGAAGATGGAGAAAGAAGAGAAGAAAAAGATTTCTTTTTTGTTCCTAAAGCTGTATCGATCTTTCATTTAGTTAAGGTTGGACACCTAAGTGACCCTTGCTGGTACGTGTGTGCAAGTAATTTGAGTGAGAACAAAAAAAACTGATGTTGTTGGAGGTGCTGGGCACGCTCAGCTTCCATATCTAAGATGCTTCCAGATCTTCGAGAACAGCATCAGGCACATGTGAAGCTTGTTTGCTTTTTTCAGTCTGGTTATTTCCAATCCAGTGTTGGGAGTAGGAGGGGGGGAAGAGAGAGAGAAATTGAGAGAAAGAAGAGGGACAGGAGGAAGAGAAGGGAGAGGAAGAGGAGAGGAGGGAGGAAAAAAATGGTGAATGCTTCATGATGGGAGTAGAAACAGACCCAGAAGTGGAGAGAAAGAGGCGTCCCCACGGCTTGTGGGAAATGACGAAGGCAAGGGAGGGTGAACCAGATGGGTCATTAGGCTGTAAGGCGGTGGCATTTGGAAGCCAGAGTTCCACTTTCTATGAAACTGTGAATAAACAGCTTGGAAATAGTCCATGATCTTCTTTCCTGATACTGATTTTATTCCAGTTCACTCAGGGCGCTGAAGAACAAGTGTTGGTTGGATTATCTTCCTGTAATTATCATGCGGGTGTGTACACTTGACTTCAGTGTGACTGCGACGTAGACTTAGATACCAGTCAGCCCACTGGAAGACAGGGGATCTTCCTGAGCTGGTGGTTGCGAGACAGGCCTCTGGATTAGGGTGCGTCTCATAGAATGATACTCATGGCATGTGTTCTCACAGCTGCACATTGTCTTGGAGCTGGAAGGGACTGCAGCAATGTGAAATCAACACAGACTAAGCACATGGGAACAGGCAAAGGCTGTTGACCTTGAGCTGCCTCGGCTATGTATAGCCTAGCAGACAGCACCTCACATCTGGCAGAAGCTCAGAACTGGGATGAAGGATGGGGAGCTCTAAGGGGATCCTCAGGTATGCCCTGAGTGGAGGAGGTTCCATTCTGAGGAGGCTCACCAGGGATCACTAGTTTTGGGGGGTCCCAGACACTTGACTTTAGTTGCTCCTAGGTGGGAAGGAGCAAAATTCGGGACAGATGTCAGTGGTTAATCAAATCCTGACTATGAGGAGCCAATTGCCCTGCAAGTTGTTGATTCCTGAGCCGGTGACTGCAGATAAAAGGCTAGGGTACTCTTTTCTACATACGGCTTCGCAATTTTCCACTCGTGTACTTCATCCCTCAGTGATTATCCAGTGCAGGTGTAGAAGGATGAAATGCATTCATAAAGGGCATGAACCTACAATATATTAATACTTTTTTTTTCATGAGTAGCAGTTTTTAGTTTTCAGAAAATTTTTGAAATGCGGAATATGGTTGGATCCTTCCAATTCAGTTGGGGAAGTTAGGCAGGGCCAGTATTACAGGCTTCCCCCGTGTTGTGAAAACAGACATTCCTGTTTAGCATGATGTGGGGGGTTACTTTTTGGGCCTGAGAACATTACTGCCATTTTTTAAATCATATTTTAAAAATTGGAACGAAATAACCATTTCATTTGGTCTATGAAAATACACAAAAGAGAAATCACTTTATCGACCTTACGGTCTTTTTTCTTTCCATGAACACCCCCAGCTTAACTCCTTATCTTTCTTACTACATCTTACTACATTCATGTTCTTTCCTTTCCTCTTCTTCCTTACATTCCAAATTCTGTTCTGGCTCCAAGTTCCTTCTCCAGGGCAACCAACTCCAAGATGTCTTCCCTTTGCATCTTCCACACTCACCCCACCCCCGGCCAAACAGAGGGAAGAAATAGTTTCCTTTCTCTCACCTGTCAAGACTATTATGAAAAATTGTATGTCTATATTTGATCTCTTCCCTGAAAACTGTTATGATTAATTTATATGTAAAAAACCCTGAGTATCCCAATCATACCAAATAGGGATGTTCTCATTTTGGATATTGGGGAAACCTTTATCTCCCTTTTGTAGTTTAGAAAAATGGGGCTCCAAGTGAGAAAGCCAAGAGCTGAGTGGCATGGGTCACCAGATTAGGTGCAAAGCTGGACTCTGTGGACCTCACACCTCGGGCTGCTGACAGTCTTATAACCTGTCCCATCTGCCTCACAGATTCAAAGAGTGGGCAGCCAAAGTGTGACATTTGTGCTTTTGTGTTATAACATTGCTGAGACTCAATGAATATTTAAACCTATATGTAAATAAAGTAAAATGCAGATTCTCTAAATCAGTTCTACATATTTTTTTCTCTACTATCTCCATCAAAGATTGAGCTAAAGATTGAGATCTGAATTAAACTTCCAACATCTTAGAATGATATTTTTTGAAATAATGCTCTTCCAGGCCCCATTTACAACACTCGGTAGATTCACTTGCTCCATTAGGAAAGTCAGTGTACTTCAAACCATCTTTATTACATGTGTTTTTGAATGTGCATCTGCCCATGCTTTACAGAATGACTATCACATCCATTCTCTGTAATTTTGCATCTCCTACACCCATTGGAAAGATGCCTGAGTTGTTCAGAAACCCACTAAATTAATTAATTAAATGCCTACTGAGCAATATGCTAGATGCTGGAGGCACCAATGGCAAAAAAAAAAATTAAGTCCCTGTCTTAAAGAATGGGGGCAGCTGGGAAAGAGCAGATACATAGGAAGGTGGTACATGGTGGGGGAGGCTTCAGCAGATACAGCAGATTGAGTAACCAGGGCTGAGGAGTGCTAACCAAGCAAAGACAAGATAGGTAGTTATTAAAAGCAGGAGGGATAGGAGATAAACACTGGAGCAAACAGCACAGTTTTTGTTGGAGGTGGAGTGGGGAGGAAGAAACTAAAGTCATTTCAGTTAATGCAGAAGGCATTTTTAGGTGGGAAATGCATAGTCACAGAAAGGAAGTGTGATAGAGTAGAGAATCTTATGGGTCAGTAGAAGAAGTCTAGACATGATCTGTGGTCACAGGAAGCTTCTGGAAGGATATTAATTCAGGGTTATATTATGAATAGACTTGAGATTTTGATTTTTAAACACTTCTCTATATGCATTACAGAATGCCCATCTCATCTATTCCCTGAAATAGCACTGTTCTCAACATAGTGAGTAGATAATACTCTTAAAACCACTTTTTATATGCATATGTTTACATTACAGAAAGACTATCACATTCCCTGTAATAACACTGATGTCAAAGAAGCAAGTAGCAATCTTAGAAGCTACTTTAGTACATAGAACGTACTTTCATTACATTGTTCTCTACACAGATGGCTCTTGCACCTATTTCTTGTATTATACTGCTCTGATCTTCGCAAGTGGGTATTACTTATAAGCCATCTTTACTGTGTGTTTTCACAGCCGAATGACCATCATATTGAATGGACCTGAAAAAACACTTGATTAGAGTTATATTTTGCATTAAGTAGATAATTAAGTAGATAATTTTGGCAGTATATAGAACTTGCATTTTGAGGAGTCTAGGAAACCTGTTGCAATAAGTCAAGGGAGATGACTCGAGCCTGAACCAGAGCAGTTGAGGTAGACATGGCAAAAAGTAGAGCAGAAGGGAAGCAAGGGGTTCAGAAATAAAATCTGCAGAAATTTGCTGGCCGATGGGTTTGGGGAGTAGCAGTTACAAAAAGGGAGACAAGCTTCTTTCTTGGATGTTTAACTGGATAGGAGAGACCATTAGTAAGAAATTGTGTTAGTTCGTGATAGTTCAGTATCTGAAATGTTAAATTTGTAGTATCTATGAGGCATCCAGATGGATTCATCCAACAGGCAGTTGGATTAATGAGTTTAAAGCTCAGGAGAATCTAGAAAACTTAAATAAGGGACCAGGAAAATGAATATAAGAAAGTGAAAATCAAAATCAACAAAAAACTATGAACCAGAGACACTTTTTGGGGGGGGGGGGCGGGAGGGAAGGATTGGGGTCAGAATGGGGCGTTTGCAATTGTATGGGGGAATATAAAAATAAAATTTAAGATTAAAAAAAAAAAAATAAAGCTCAGGAGAATGGTCCAGGCTTCTGATAAACTATTTAGAAATCTCTAACAATCAGACAATTGCTGGTTGAATCCTAAAGAATAAAATCACAGAAAGAATATATCTAGAATGAGAAAAACAGGGGCTAAGGCTAGTACCTGGGTTAATTACATGCTAATTCCTAGCATGTAAGTAATGTGTGGAGGAGAAAAGATCTGCATGACATGGAAATGGTATTAGACATAGAATACCACACAGGAAGATAGATCATCACTCTTAGGCTATGAGCCTAAGAAGATACAAATCATTAGATTACTAATTGATTACTAATTGAAGATACATATATATATATATATATGTAAAAGATTTATTTATTTATACAAGAACCAGGATACAGGCCAGATGCACGGCAGGGTGAGAGGATTCACCAGAGACAGAGCGGGGAACAGAACAGGCAGACTGACGAAATACACTGCTGAGGGGAGCAGCGGGTGAGACAGGAGAGGTCTGCTGCGCCATGTGGGTTACTCCGAGGCCGGCTGGGATCGAACCTGCACTGCAGAGGCTGCGGACAGCTTCACAGTAAGGCGCTCAACCATCTGTGCCACCAGGGGAGGCCCCCTATTATATTTTTAAGTGTTGCAATATCTAACACAAATCTAAATTTCTCAACTTATATTGAAAGTATTTTAGGAAATCATTCTTTAATTTACTAAAGGTATCTGGGAAGGATGTTTGACCTTTTTTTTCATGGAATATAATTCTGATTAATACACAGAATCGACAGAGGAGCTGAAAGCCCGCAGCCACAGCACGGAACCGATACCAAAGTTGGACAGCAAAGAGAGAGGGTATCATGGGGCGTCTTCCTCCAGAGAGCCTATTAAAGCTCAGGAATGGGACGGAACACCTGGGCCACCTGTCGTCACCAGTAGGCTGGGAAGATGCTCTGTGAGCCCCACCTTGTTAGCAGGAAACCACAGCTCAGGTAAGTAAGGTACCAATCTTCCAGAAGGCGATTCCCCATGTGTCTCCTGAGACTGCCTTCATACAGTTCTCTGAGAGAGCAAATAATAACCACATGTCTGCCTCTGCTCGGAGGGACAGCGGAGGTAGTTCTTTATACACAGGGCTGTAAGGATTCGCTGTCACACACCAGGGGGCATTGCTCACACAGGCAGTGGCCACGGAAGGGGACATCTGGTCCAGTGTGGCAGCCCTGACAATAACTGAAAATGTCCTGTACTAAATTCCTCCAGAAACATCTAGAGGAACTGACAAAGTGAAACCAGACAAACCCTAAAATATGACTGCAGAATTGGAACTACTAGCGGCAGCTCTCCTGCCTGCCAGTAATTATGCAGACACCTCTTTTTCTCCTTTTCCTAATAAAACTGTCCTTTTAAAAAGTAAAAGAAAAAAAAAATGAATTGAAAGTACTAGAAGGGAGGGGACTCAGTGGTCTATGGGAAAGGGATAATGGGCTTTGGTGGTGGTTGTGGTGCCATGACATACATCTGTGGAGGAGAGAACCGATTCCCCTATTTCAAATACATTTGTAAACCCTCATTACCTCAAAAAATAGATAAATAAATGCATACATACAAACATACCACTTAGAGGGGGAAACATTTGGAGTTCTCATCTAAAGCAGTTTTAATTCATGAAGCTTAAATGATTTAGAGTTTATTCTCTAAAAGTATTTTAGGCAACTGAGAACAAATGAGCAGATAGTAAAACTGAGGATAAAATTGTAACAAAGATGATCTGAATGGAGAGTGGATGTGACGGCCCCTTCAGTTGTGAGCTGAAGGCAGTAACTGGACATTGGTTATGGTAGCAAATCTCCAAATCTAAGTGAAAAGAGTTAGACAATTTTGATTTAATACACCTTTAAATTTCACAAGTTGAAATTAAAATCTGCAATGCGATTTTGCATTGTTAACAGATAAATATTATTAAACAACAACTTTTAAAAGCAGCATCTGTTTGCTTTGAACTGACTCATCTACATGATGGACTCATAGAGAGCTGTCAATTGAAATAAACAACAAATAATCAAGCAACTTCCTGTAGGCTTCAGGTTTCTATTCTTTAAGGGCTCTGAAGAAAAGACCAATCCTTTAATGTTCTTTTCAACTCTGATACTCATTGTGGAAAGCAATTTACATGAATTTAGCCTGTGGTCTCCTGTCAGGCTCGAGTTAAAATTGGAACAGGATGAATGGTCTCTATATTTGGGAAGGGAGGTTTCTAGAACAGTACCCAGGCAGAGGCAGGGCAATACATTCCCCGTATTGAAAATCTGACTTAGAACTTTCATAATGGAGCTACATCGTGTAGCATACAGATAAACAATTTAACAGCATGAGTTCAAATCTGGGAGAAGGAACATTATGTGAATTTAGCAGAAATGTTAAACTACATTATTGAGAGTAAAGTATAAATAACCATAGATATACAAGAATAGACACCTGCACATTTTATCAAAAAGAAAAAGAAATATAGGAAACAGATGATAATTTTTAAGGAAAAAAGCCACTTTCAAAAAATTTTGATATTATTTAATTGGAACTTATGATTAGGTCAGCATTATTATTCCTATTTTTAAGATTATCTAAATGTGTTCCAGTTCTATAAAAACAACAACAACAACAACAACAACAAAAACAACCCCAAACCAATGTCTTATGCCTATTTGCCTAGAGATATGAAAATTCCTGAGTATTTATTAGGTAGCAGTCATAGTTCCAGGACCTGAACTCATATTAGTGAACAAGACATCGTCTCATTTAAGCTTCAAGGTCAAGTGAAAGACAGATAAATATATCATTGCAATACAATGTGTTGTGGACACATAATGTGCAAAACAGAAGTGAAATCAATTCATTTTTCCTCTGTATGATTTTGGCAAGGGTAATCAGAGATTTTACAGTTAAAATAATTTCTGGAGGAGATGGCCTTTGAGCTAGAGTTCGAGACATTCAGAGCTGCTCAGCAGGAATAGGACAAAGAAGAAGGAAGTCCTCCTCCTGGATGAACTCCTTGAAAGCTCTGGGGTGGAAGCCATGGTGTTTGATGTGAAGAGTAGGGGTAGTTTGACTGATGCGACCGCAAACAGGTTGGGACTAAATGACAAGAATCTTGAGTGTCTTGATTATTAAATGGAAACACTCTCAGTCACAGAATAGCAGTTCATGGTCTCTATTTAAGTAATAATAGCCAGTGTTAATCCCATAACATGCAACTCTGGAGACAGGGAGCTGCAGGTGCTTGGGGATGTTAATGACCCAGGAACTTTCTATCCTTTGAACTCTCTTCTGTTGCTGCACTTGACAATGTTTTCCTAATTGTGAACTGACTAGGACAGTTCTGGGCTTCATTTTTCATTTTCTGGGCTTCTCTTTTCATCTGATTGTTCAGAATTAGGAAATAGGTCCTCTGGGTCCATCACTGCATGAAGGGGAGTAGGATTTTCATGCATCTATAGGGAGTTAAATCAAGGGGTTTCTCCCATAAGCCCAAAAATGAACCCACCAGACTATTCAGAGGAATAGGAGGGACAATATTGTTAAGCAATGATTAGCGTCTGCTGTCATGGCTAGGTTTCAAAATTATATGGAAGATACTCTGTCATCATTTCGATATTTTCAAAGATAAGTATATGGTGAGTCAGTTTTCATTGTGAAAGATCAAGTGATTACTCTTAAAATCTGAAGCAAGGCTGACTGGTCATTTATTAAGTTAGAGATGTGGAGCAAGGGAGAGGGAAGTCAGCAATTAAATTTTGACTGTGCTCAGTTGGAAGTGCTTTAGAAAATCCATGTGAGAAGCTGGTAGACCACTAGATACATAATTCTGGAGCTAAAAGACTTAAGTGGAATTTACTCAAGTCTGGAGACCTTTGGAGTGGCTAGAACCATAAGACTCGATGATTCTAACCAGGAGACTAGATGATAGGAGAACAGCCAACAGAGATGAGGAGGAAACTGAGACTGGACTTTGGGAAATTCAACATTATCAGAGTGAGAAGTGAAGAACAACTGTGAAATAAATAGAAAGGAAACAATTAGATGTCACACATTAAATTTTTACTGAATAATTAGTAAATTGCATAAAATGGGTAAACTGTGATGTGTTATTGACATTTTGATATGACTCTTCCAAGAAACTGGGAATGTGAACAGAATTTATAACATAATTTCACTTTATCCCACTGCAAACGCTGGAAGCATCTTTGTTGCTTGTGGTATCTACAATCTGCTCTCCTCAGTCTTTCAGCTCTGTTTGTAGAGCAGTAAATTGTCTACTGACAGAAGAAATGACATGAGTTCTTTTAGTGCCTCCCATCTCCATCTTAGATTATGAAGGAGGTAAATAAAGGTGGAAGAAAATAAAGGTTCTTTTTCATTTTTTGATAAAGAAATGTTTGCATTGATACCAAAAGAATTCTAAAATGTAGGGTCACATATATAATGTCAATGCAAGATAGAGTTTCTTATGTGAAAGTGAAACACCATTGACATGAACACTCAAAAAAGGCCATTACAATTACTTAAACCTCTAGAAGAAGTCAACGCCTACAAAATATATTACTGCAATTCTTACAAAATCTATCCTACTACTTTTGAGGGAAAAGAACAGAAAAGGGAAAATGTTTATGTTGTTGGTTTGTATTTTTCTGAAAAGAAAGAACCAAAAATGCACCAATTCTATACTAGAAAATGCCAGCATTCCACTAGTAAGCAGTTATAAAAGAGGACTATGCAAGATATAATATCACCTTTGGTGTTTTAAGCAAAGAGCTCCTGGAGAAATATGCATCGATAGATGGTCTTCAGCCACAATAGCACAGGGAGTTTTGGGGACTTGCTGCTTTGAAACAGAAGAGAATGAGTCACTGTTTACTCTTTCTCCTTCTTCTTTTCACACATCCTCTTCATATTGTTTCCTCTCTCGTAGGCCACTGAGCTGCTGGTCACCTAACAGAAAACAGAAGCACTAGAACTTCATTTATAATCCCCCTCCCTGCAGCTCAGGGACCTGGTCTCTCTTCTCTCTTCTCTCTCTCTCTCTCACACTCACACACACACACACACACACACACACACACACACACACACACACACACACTGCTACCAGTCACAGACCATTGCTTTACCAAAAGTAGTTTAGCCACTTGAAATGGTTGTTCTTAACAGCTCTTTTGAGGAATGGAGGAATCGCTCAAGTAAAGCAAAGGAACACGTCAGGAGATCTCAATTCTAATCTCAATTCTAATGAACATCGCCACTGGTTGCTGTGCTACTTTATTAAAGCCACGGTTGTTTAGTAAGTCAGAGATTCCCCAGAGGGTGATTCTAGGAGGCGATGGAGGACTGGTATCCAAATGCTCTTGAAAATAATGGGAAAAGGGGGAAATTATGCAAGCGAGTATGGTATTAACAAAAATTCTGATTTCAATCACTGAGTCAATCAGCAAATCATTTCAAAGCAACTTGCATCCAACTGTAATGGCTTCTGAGAGACAAACACACACTACAGGCTATTTAAAACAAAGTCTCTGCAGCTCACAGATCTGACTATGCTGCTGTATGACACCGAACTACTGATAGTAAATTAATTAATTACAATGAAATGTATTATTTTCTTTACTATCTACTATTTACTAAACATTAAAAATCACTCAGAGAACAGGAAATGAGTGCAGGGTAGAAGCTAAAGGAGGCCTAGTGGGAAGCATGGAGTCTGAAACCAAGATTTCATCAGCCCTTTGAAAAATCATTCTTATTTTTAATTGAGTAGAACTATAGAGAACTTCCCGCATGAGATAGAGAAGGTGAACAAAGGCTGAACAGCGGTGGAACCTTTCCTGACGTGGTTTTGCAGACCAGCAAGTATAAACTTGAAAGGCCTGGGCTTCACCCTGTCAATGGAAATCACTATAAAAAAGCTCATTTCTGTGTACAACCTGGTATGTTTCTGTGT